AGCAAAAAAGAAAAAAATTTCAACTCACCACTGAATAAGTGAAATTAATTGTAGTCAGGAAGACATTGGGAAAGCTAAGTATCCGCCCAAAAGAAAAAAAAAGTAATTTAATATGCTAAAAAATAAAAATCTTTCTGAAAAGAAAAGATTACAAGCAATAGGAAAATTAATCAAAAAGGATTTAAGTAATCTAAAAAAACGAAAAGTTGCTGAACCTAATTCAATTGAAGTAATTTGCACTCCCCACGATATTTTCCACTCTGCCAAAAGAAAGAATTAGAGCGATTACAAAAAGATAATAAAAAGTTCAAAAAACTTAAATAATTTTTTTAATTTTTAGTTAAAAAAGCACGATGACCAAGCCCCGCAAACTCCACGAACTACAAGGCACTATTAATCTTTGCTTGCCAGGACAAGTATCAAGCAATGGACCCCACAAAAACCAACCCTTTTACTATTTAGAAATTCAGGTGGAAAGTGCCTTTTGCAGCAATCGCTCTGAAATAATCTATGCTTTTATTAATTTAGTTAGTCCAGAAGTCTGAAAAACCTTGTCCCAGGAAACTTATCGCGACAAAAAATATCTTTTTAAATTTGAAAAAAGAGTTAGAGGATGAAGGTTGAGGGGGATGGAGGAGATAAAATAAATATATGGATAGCGTACGTCCATAGTTCATATATGATAAAAACCTTTTTTGATAAGTACAGCCGAGCCACTTTCGAGGCTCGAAGTTTAAAAGATGTTCCACCCCAGTTTCGTCAGATCGCTAAAAGAGTTTGACGAAAGTTGGATATTCTGGCGGCTGCCCCTAACTCCAAAATTTGCGAAGAAATATTTGGTAAAAAGAATTACAAACCTTTAAAAGGGGAGCGTAAAGGTCAGCATGCCATCAAAATCAACGATCAATATCGCATTTGCCTTCGATGAGGAAAAGACAATAATGTTTATGAAGTAGAAATAAATAAGCACTATTGAGATTAAAAATTAAAAAATAATTTTATATATTCAAAATTAATTAAATTTTAGATTTTTTAAATTTTATGAAAGCCCTTACCCTATCCCGTGCCATTCATCCCGGAGAAATCCTGAAAGAAGAATTATTGATTCCGCGAGACATTAGCCAAGCCGAATTGGCTCGCAGCATTAAGGTCTCGGTACGCCGAATTAATGATATTTGCCAAGGTAAACGAGGTATTACTCCCGATACAGCCTTGCGTTTAACCCTTTACTTTAATTTAGGAAGCGAAGGAGTAGAATTTTGAATGAATTTGCAACATAATTACGAGAAACACTATTGAAAAAGTATTTTAGCCAGCCAAGAAGCAAAAATTAGAAAGCAGATTCGCTCTTTGCCTCGTTCCCGGGAAAATTCCTTTAAACATTTGTTGAATAGTTAAAAAATAGTGAAAAAACTCGAAATATTCTTTGACTATTTTTTAGAAAAAGTGTCTAGTTCAGCAGCACTTTTGTTAAATTAGTAGTAAAAAAGATTATATACAAGTAAGATAAATTTATCATGAAAAAAAATGACAACCTATCTCCGCGACCGAAGTCGCTAAGTTATTGCTGTCATTTGACCCTAAGAGGGAGTATTTTCAAGACGGGAAAATGCCTGACACAGTAGAAGGGGAAGGATACGAACCACCTACTATCGGTAATTTTCGTTTAAATAAAATGCTTCATATTTGTCAAATGCTTCACTATGCCAAACACGGGGAACCGCTTTTTTTTGAAGATTTACGAGCTTATTATCATGGAGCAATAGTTTATCCCATTTATCGCGATTTTTTTAGTTTTTATCGTAAACCATTAACTACTAAAGAAATTTTGATGGATAAGGAAAAAAAGAGCCTAATTAGCAAAATTTATTACTACTTTAAAAATTGTTCGGATAAAGATTTAGAAACTTTTTCTCATGACGATCCCGCCTGAAGAAAAACTTGATTTGAAAAGAAAGAGGATGATGACCGCATGGCCAATAAGGAATTGAGTGATTTTTATCAAAAATTATTAGGCCATATTGTTAAAGAAGTAGAGTTAAGTTAATGGCAGTTCCTTTATTCCAACCTAATCAGGTAATTTGTTTTCAAACCAACTATTTTAAGAATAGATGTAATCTTACCGGCTACCGCTACTATTTGTTAAAAGAAATAGACAAAAAGAAAAATTTGCTGATCTTTTTTACCATTACTTCTAACCGGACTCGGGAATGAGTTTTCTACAGTCAGCATAAAATTAAATGAAGACCTACTTGCTTAGATAGCAAAATTTATCTGAATAGTTTTGTCAACGC